CTTGATTAGTTTGTACATTTTAAAATTTTTAATAAATTGATTGCTATTTTGTAAGTTTTTGTTAATAAATTGATTGCTATTTTGTAAGTTTTTGTCAAATTATATGAATATTCTTGTATAAAATTTTGTAATCAATTTTATAAAATTTTTTTAGCTCATCATTTTTTAAAGTTAATAAATTTCTGAATTTTTTTATGAAATTTGTTCTTAGAAAATTTTTAGACAAAATTATTATTTTCTTTTAAAAAATAATATTTATTAAAATAATTTTATATTCTAAGGAACTAATTTCGAGCCGAACACGAAAACACTGTTCACGAGCTATTTCGAACACGAGCCGATTTCGGACACAAGCCAGATTCGAACGAGCCGAGTCTGAGCTCGTTTACAGCCCTAATCCTAAGATCTTCTACGATGTCACATTTATCATTAATTCATCAAAACAAATCAAATAATCATCAACTAACATCAAAACCTGTCTCCCAATGTACTCAATTACTCCAAAAGTTGATCATTAAATGTTAAAAGATACTTTCCCTTACAAGTGCCAACCTTAAACTCAAGACACAATACACTGACAAAACTCAATAACACAAGATCCAACATGAATCATGACCTAAAAAAACTCAAATACATCAAAAAGACTCAAAATACATGAAGGTGACATTAAACTCGCCATATAAAAATCAATCAGTACGTGAGAATCCCACAAGTACAACCAATATAACGGCAAATATGGCTACGGTTCTTAACAAGATGCTCTATATGAGATAGTCTCTTACTCTACTTCAAATTTTCTTTAACATCTATATATATATATATATATATATACATAAATGTAGAGAAGGTAAAAAAAAGGTTCACTCCCAAACACTTTAAGCCAAATTCAAAGCACCAAAAGAGTCCAAACACAATAAAAATTGCCCCACTAGAATCTTGGTGATGGTTTAACCAACTACATAGGATGCCCGACTAAAAGAAAAAACTCTACACTAGATGAATGATAAATTTGAACATATTTTAACTTGTAGGTCCTTTAATAGTAAATTAACAATGAAATAAGAGAAAGAAGTGACACCATTACGAAACCAAAGTGCTGATAAAATGTCAAAGTCAAAATAAGTGTTAAATGTTCCATCCTCAATAAATTGAGTTCAAGTATGGGGGTTTGCTCTTCAGAACCACATTTTCCAAAAATAAATGAATAAATAAATAAAAATGACAAATAAGATTCCAAAGTTGATAAAAATTCAAGTGATCGTGGTTGTGGCCATGATTTTGGATGTGATCATGATTATAAAAATGTTAATGGATATGGAAGTGGCCAAGAATATGGATATGAATGTTAATGGATATGGATATGAAACCAAAGCTCAACGATGGGCAATGAAGAAGGCAGCCAAACAATACATGTATAACAACTATCAAATCCATTGCTGTGTTTTTAAGAAATTCAAACATTATGCTTCTCGATAATAAAATAACAAAGATAACAAAATTAATGGAAAGAGCCAAAATTGTTGTAAATAAAGGAGATCCTTTTATATAACTAGCCTACAAAGGAGAAGAAGATGAAAAAAAAAAAAGTTAGAACTTGGATATCTGAGAATAAATTATACGTATGGTAACCTAAGAATGTTTGTGGAGTTGGAAGAGGGAGAGCTATCACTATATTGATGATTCCACGAAAGTTCATCTAAAGGAAAAGGTAAAATTCTTATACTCCTTGAAGAAGAAAGTCAACAATTAATTTTAAATATCAATTATGTTCCAAACAAGATAGGTCCATATCTTAAGCTTGGGAAAATTATTTGAAGAAGGCTATGACATTCACATAAAAGGAAAATGTCCTCTATAAGGAATAACTCAAAATGAGTTAATTGCTCGAGTATAGCCAAGAAAGAATAGAATGTTTACTCCCAATTTAAGAGATTATGTAAGAAATGCTTCAAGATTATGAATTTTGAGGCTTAGGCATCTTAACTTTGGATATCTCAATATCATGTTAAGTAGGAAATTAGTGTATGGGTTACCAAAAATAAATCATGCAAATCAACTCTGCGAAGAGTGTATCCTTTGATAATAGAAAAAAAAAAGAAAAACTTATCCTCATAAAGTAGGGTTTAAAGCAAAGATTGCACTCAAATTACTTTACATAAATGTTTGCAAATCAATTTCCCCAGCATCTTTAGTAGGTATCACTACTCTCACGCTTTTATTGATTTATATATAAAAAGAGTATTTTTGATAATATAAATAAGAAGCCTTTAATATGTCCACGAAGGTTTAAGCATTTGTAGAATACTAAAATGGCTACTCAATTATATTCAACTGATCATATCAGATTAAGGAGTTCACATCCAAAACATTGTAAGATTGCTATAACAAGTATAGCATCTGAAAGCAATTAACAACCTCAGTTTCCCCCAAGAAAAATAGCATGATGAAAATGAAAAATCACATTCTTCTTAACAAGCTGTGAAGCACAAAAGAAGAGCATGCAAAAGGAGTTCTGAACTAAAGAGGTACTTATGGCTAAATCAAGTGTCATGAATATGACACCAAAATAAGCACTCATAGAAACATAGTCAAATATCTCTTACCTTAGGGCCCGTTTGGGGCAACTTATTTGGTGCAGTGACATTTTGAAAACGCACCTGACCTGTTTGGGTAAACTGCATTTTGACAACTTATGCGTTTTAAAAATGTAGAAAACAACGTTTTCACACCGCGCCTATTTAGGTGCGGTGGGAGTTTATTGGCAACGGTCTGGCTCTTCCAAAAAAATAAAAATTTGTGATAACTACTGCACCTAGCTTATCAGCAGATTATTTTTAATCAGCTTATCAGCAGATTATTCAATAAGCTACAGCTGCCTCAAACAGACCCTTAAAGGCTTTGAAAGCATCACTTATGCCCATGTTTCAAAAAATATGAGATTCAAGCTAGATGAAATAAGTCAAAGAACATTTTAATCATATGCAAAAAAAATCTAACAAATTATTTGATCCCAATAACTCTAAAATCGATATAAATAAAAATGTGGAGTCTAATGAAGTGGAGCTTGGATTAGCACAAGAAAACAAAAGTTGTTAAAAATTAAGAGTCTATTTGAAACAGCTTTCTGTCTACTTTGTGTTTCAGATTGCCGATACAATTCTGTTTGGGGTATTGTTTTCTTGTTGTTTTCTAGAAATTTCTGTGATGCGAAGTTATTTTTTCAACGTTACCTATTAAAATGTGATGGTTGAAAGAAAGCTACTGTCTGATTTTCTGAAAAAAATATAATTATTTGAGACAGCTTTCTGCCTATTTTTCGTTTTAGATTGCCGACACAACTCTGTTTGGGGTACTGTTTTCTTGTTGCTTTCCATAAATTTCTGTGGTGGGAAGTTTTTTTTTTCAACCTTATATATTAAAGTGTGATGGTTGTAAGAAAGCTACAGTCTGATATTTTGAAAATATATATATATATTTATAATTCTCAACACAACTTTCTAAAAAGTTATTTTCTTCACTATAGCTTTATAACCACATTTTTAAAAAAGAGCAGTCACCCCAAATAGACCCTGAGAACATATACATATGAGGCTTCAAGGGCTTCAACAAACATCTTCACCAAAACTCTCCACACTATCTTTCTACAATAAACCAAAGTCATAGAATACAAACTTTAAGCAAGATTTATGAGAAAATCGATGATATACATCTTATTTGTTTTGTGTAAAATGGTTACACTTCAGACTTGAAGATACATACTCGATGAAAAGTGAATATGTGCGAAGAAAGAGAAGGTCAAGGCCCTTTATAAAAATCCAGTACAAGAACTAATATCTGTTCCTAAAGTACAAAAGGCCGTAAGGTATGAAAAGGGTACATAAAGCAAAGAAGAATGTACAAAGTTAGCTACAAAAATATAAAGCAAGATTGTGATCAAAAGATGCAAGCAAAATGTCAAACCAGTTATGATAAGGTAGTTTCCTTGTAATTTGAAAGGAAACTATTTGTACATTCAATTGTTTAAAAAAATCTATGTTCCAAATTGATTTAACATCTACTTCTTAATGGCTTCTTCCTTTTTTTTTTGAAAATGGCATGTATCTTGAGTAAAATTTAAATAATATAAAATTGATTCATGAATCAAAAGAACATAGGTTGAATAATGTATTACATGAACAAAAGCAAGCACCTACAACTTAGAAAGCAAAAATTGATGGTAACATCAAGCAATCTCTATGAAAGTAATCATTATATGAAGATACGTAATAATAGAGGAATCTTGTTTGCCTGTATACAGATTATATTATCTTATTAGAAATAATCCACTTATATTTGATGAATTCAACAAAACATGATACATAAGCTTGAGATGATGCACATGGGGTTGATTTTTTATTTCCTTGGGATAAAAGTGAAGCAAAACAAGCAATGCATTTTTATTATGATATATGTCCAAAATGACAAATTTAAATCCAAGATTTAGTAAATCCAATTCCTTCTGAATCTTTTATTAATTTTCCTTAAATCTCAGATCTATTAAATCCTATTGTTGGCTGGTTTAAACAAATTTGGATTTATCAGATTTACTAAGGCTATTAAAACCATTGCCATATAGCCCCTAAAAAAGGTAAGATTACAAATTATGAATTGATATCCTAGTCCCCTGTAAGAGTAGTGGAATATATCATAGGCACAAAAAGAAATCATGGGAACCAATGTCGGTCAATGGCCCATAAAGACAGTCGAGTAATGGCAAACTTTGACATTGCTCGACGGTCAACAACATTAGTTGAATGATGGCGGACATCAGTGGTCATCAATGTTGATCAACAATGAGCAAACAATAATGGCCACCCCACAACTTATGCTGTGAAAATTAGAAATGCAATAAACATTATCAGATTGACCCGCCATAGTTGTAAAAACGATACATACTTATATTTCACTAAAAATATAAAAGAAAAGAGGTTAAAACTGGTTATAGAGTCGAGTACTGTTACCTAAAACAATATGTTGCATTAAATAGGTGAATGGCTCTAGTATCCCGATTGATCAAATGTGAAACTCATGAAAGGCTGATTCATATCCCATAAGTAAATCAATGTCCGAGAAAACTGTTAGCGTCCTGAAAGCTCATTTTTGGCAATATTATAGTACTCTGACGCACTCATAAGAAGAAATAATCATCTTCCAACTCATTAATTCAGCACCTCAAGATATCATTATCCACTTCTATCCAGCTTGTAGCACACTCTTTTCTCATTCCCTTCTCCTCCATGGATTGCCTCACATTCTCTACAGACACCCAGTTCCCATCCTCAGCGAAAATATTAGATAGCAGAACATAAGAACCAGAAGGCTGAGACTCCAAGTCCAAAAGCCTCCGAGCAATTTGCTCTCCAAGCTCTAAATTTCCATGTATCTTACAAGCTCCTAGCAATACATTCCACGCCCTTGAACTAGATTTACAGGGCTCTTTAACCAACCACTCCATCGCTTCCTGGAATTTACCAGCCCTGCCCAAGAGGTCCACCAAACACACAAGAAGATTTTCTTCAGGTAAAATGCCACATTTCTCAACCATAGACTCAAAAAACTGCAAACCCTCAATCACCAGGCCTGAATGGCTGCAAGCGGTGAGAAGAACAACAAACGTATTAGCATCAGGCTTAATCTTATTTCTAATCATTTCCTCGAATAAGTTAATTGCTTCTTTTCCAAGACCATGATGACCTACAGCAGACATGATAGTGTTCCACATAACAACATCTCTGCTGTCCATATTTGAATGATAAAAAAGTCTTCTTCCTCCCTCCAAATCCCCACATTTGGAGTACATATCAATAAGAGAGCTAAGAACAATCACATTTGGATTAAAATGTGTCCTAAAAAGGCGAGCATGTATCTGCTTTCCATGTTTAGCTGAAGAAATTGCAGAAGCAGCACAAATACAGCTGCTGAAAATAAATTGATCTGGTTGAACACCATCAGCAACCATCAATCTGAACAAATTCAGAGCTTCGGATGCTAAGCCATTGCGTATATACCCTCCAATAAGCACTGTCCATGATACAAGATTCCTGTCAGGCATCTCATCAAACAACATTCGAGCAGAACGCATGTCCCCGCTCTTGGTGTAAGCGGACACCATTGAAGTCCAAGCAAGTACATCTCTGACAGGAATTTCATCAAACGCCCTCCTTGATTCCTCTATCATCCCATGCTTCGCATAAGCATCAACAATCAAGCTGGAAACCACTAGGTTTGATGAGCAACCAGAAACCAAAACCTGACCGTGGGCTTGAAAGGTGAGACCTTCATACCCAAAGCTAGAACAGGTAGTAAGTAGGGCAGAGAAAGAATGGGCGTTGAAGCCGAGGGTGGAGTTACGGAGGCGCTTGTAGAATGTCACAGCTTCCGCCGCCATGTTGCTTCGAGCAAGGGCAAGGATGATGGTGTTCCAGGACACGAGGTCCTTATGCGGCATTCCATCGAATAGGCTAAGAGCGGGAGCTAGCAAGCCGAGGCGGACGTATCCGGCCAGCATGGTGTTACACGAGAAAACGTTTGGCTGAGGCATTTTGCCGAAGAGATGTTGGGCGCGGTCGGAGCGGCCGAGGAGGAAGTGGAGATGAAGGATGTGGTTAGAGAGAAAGGTGTTGGAGGGGTAAACGGGCTTGAGGGCGGTGAAATGGAGGAAGTGGAGAACACGGCGGGCTAAAGAGAGGGAAGGATGAGGGTAAAGGCATTGCGTAAGAAGAAATGAGAGAGTGCGGATTGGAGGGCGGAGACCGCACCGGGCGAGGAAGGGGAGAACGGCGACTGCATCGGCGAGACGGCCGGCGGAGATGTGAAGTTTTAGAGATGCGAGGAGGCAAGGGGAGGGTTTGGCGCGTTGGATGCCACGATGGGGCATCGACTGGGGTGGCCCCGCAGCGGCACGGCCGTCATTCCTGCATCGAGGAAAGATTGCAGGGAGAGTTTTGATCGAAGGCTGGGAGAGGGATGGATGTGTTAAAGGAGCAAGTGCAGGACCAAAAGAGTTCAATTGAATTCGTGAAGTTTGATCCGTTTAAACTTTCAATTGAGGAATTATGAGAAAGTTTGCCTTTTTAATTGTAATGCTTATTTTCAATTTACTCCTTACATTTTGATTTATGCTTTCAAAATCAACATACAGGAAATTGGTAAATTAGGCAAATTAGGGTCTGTTTGAAGAAGCTGCATATCCAGCTTATAGAGTTTTGCTGATGAGCAGCCGATTTGGTTGGTTTGTATATTTGAAAAACAACTAATTTGTAGTTGTTTCTGGATAAATGACCCTTCTGCCCCTGATGAATATTACTGGCACTTCGTCGGAGCACACCACCTCCGCCGCCGTCGAAGTAAGATAAACCATTGCAGCTAACAACAGCAACCGCGATGCCATTAGCTTCACACGCCATTGGTATAATGCCTACAACTGTAGTATACTCAGTGCTTCTATTGTGTTTCGGAGGCACGAGGACAGTGGGGGCGGGGACCAGCTTCGTATGATTTACAGAATAGGCAAAGCATAGAGGAGTAGCTCGGGCTTTAGGGCAGAGGAGATCGTGCGATTGAGAAGAGTCACTGGCTTCCTCGCCTAGGTTAGGGCAAAGTAGGAGAAGGTCGCGGCTAGGGCCCAGACTAGCACCTTGGTGCTCGAGGCTAGCGCCTAGGCATTGGTCAAGCCCCAAAAACCTTAATTTTCACTAAAAGCATCGAATAAGGGATTTTCTCTACATGTAAGCTATGAGAGACTAAATATAACTAAAATAATATTCCACAACTCTAAATATAAGCATCTTTATGGATCTTGATCGAAGGGTTTTTGTGCAACGAGCGCCCTAAAATGTTGTGCGGGTATGTCATTCTAAACCTTAATCTTCCCATAAACGCCCACATGAATGCTCAATAGATTCATTCAACCACGGGAGGCTCCAAATAAGCCAAGTAAGGTCATCAAACATTAGAAATGACAACATACACCTCCCATATCATAACTGACCCCACCAAATAGAGGACTCTCTATGTCATCGCAAACCCTAGTTTTATGACCAAGACGCGTACCAGGAATCCAAGATGGGTGTCCTATGCTATGTGACGCAACGAGTGAATAGTAAATCATCCATAGATACTTAAGTAAATACCATACACTTGTGACATTAAAAATTGATGCCAACAATCCTGAAAGGTGTTGTGAGCATGGAGTTTAAGCAAAAAATCTATAAGGAAGACCCTTTTCATCATCGGGAGATTGCTCTCAAAGAACTATAGATTATCTTGAAGAGTTTGTAACATGATAAATAAATGAATTTAGAGAACTAATGAGAAAATAAATGCATGATAGGAGGGAAGTATTTTGAGTTCATTCCTAATCCAAAACATATACCAGATCATCAAGATCAGTGACTTGCGGTCATGGCCCCCCGAGAGTAGAAGGCGCTCTATGAAAGAAGTTCCAAGACAAGAAATACCAAGGTAGGAACAGTCGATGCAAGCCCCACGGCCATGAATTTCTCAGATTCAGAGCAAGAAGAGCTCTTAACCCAAGATTTGAGCAATAAAGACATAGAAAAACTTACCTAGTTGTATGTACTCATGATTGTGCATGGATGACTTTGATCATTCAGAAAGAGAAGGACCTAGTGCAGGCTCAATGGGAGAAGAAATAAGAAGACAAAGGTTTCCTCCCATCTTCTACAAAGAATATGGGGAGAAGATTGAGACCAAGACTGACTAAAAATCCCTTCTCTAATGAGATTTTACAAATCAACTAGGTCCTGAGGAAGTTTAAGATTTTGTCTTTGAAATCTTAGAAAGGGAAATCTGACCCCACTAATCATTTGGCTTCCTTTGAGTTAGTCGTTCTCTTACCTAGGAAAATGCCGTGTTGAAATGTTGTTCGTTCTTTATGGCATTGAAAGACTCATTCTTGCGCTAGTTTAATCTCTTGCTCGTAAGAGTTATTAACTTTTTCCGCATATTCAAGCAAATATTCATAGCCAGTTTGTCAGCATTCAGAAACCCCGGAAAAGCTCGCAGGAACTCTTGAAAATTCTCCAAGAGCCCATTGAGAATCTGAGGAGCTTCATCACTCATTTTTAACGAGAAATGTTGGACGTCAGGAATCTAAAGTCATTGTCACTCATGTAGCTCTGGCCCAAGGCCTGTTTCTATATGCACAAAATTTTAATATTTTCTACCTTCTCATTTAAAAAGCAAAAACATACTTTTAAACTCCAATGTGAGACTACAATTTTTCCAAGTGTGTGGGACCCCTGAACACTCCCAGGGTTGTCTTCTTTTTCAGAAATTTACATGGACACCACTCAATTGCAGTGTATTTACATATCTAACACCTAAACTTCTATTTTTACATCATACCACCTTAACTATGCACTAAAAACTGTATTTCATTTTAAAAAAAAATTATAATAGTGGTATCACAAAAACTAAAATACTGTCATTTTTTATATGATATAAAAGATTTAGGTGGTATAAATGTAAAAATAAAGTTTTTATATTAGATATGTAAATACATAAGAATCTTGTGTATTTACATATCTAACACCTAAACTTCTATTTTGACATCATACCACCTTAACTATGCACTAAAAACTGTATTTCATTTTAAAAAAAAATTATAATAGTGGTATCACAAAAACTAAAATACTGTCATTTTTTATATGATATAAAAGATTTAGGTGGTATAAATGTAAAAATAAAGTTTTTATATTAGATATGTAAATACATAAGAATCTTACAATGTGTATTTAAATGCCCCTTTATTTTTTTTTGCATACTTCTAATATATATTTATATTAAAATATCTCTATTTCTTGTAATATTTAAGCTAAACAAATCAAATTATTAAAAATATTAGATAAAATTACAGTTAGCCCCCGAAGAATGATGTTGGTTATGCGCCTGAAGACATCCTCAATTGCATAAATTAAGCTATTAGTATTATGGCTTTTCTTCTTCAACCTTTTTTTCCCTCTCTGGGAAAGGTGAGCTTAAAGTGCATTATGCATGATCCGTAAAAACTTAGAGAGATATCTTGAAATAATAAGAAGGAGAAAAGAGCCAGGAATTTATAGAGAAGATGGAAGAAAAGATAAGTATTTAATACTTGGTTTTGCTTACATTACATAAACAGATTTGCATGTATTTATAGCCAACAATAACGACATACTTATAAATACATGTAATTGGAAAGCACATAAATAACTTGAGCTATATAAATCCTTAGCTATCCGTCTTCTTAAGAATTAGAAAAGGCAAACCAAATGGAAACAAACCCACGGAGCGACAATCTTCGACATCTTCAGGTAAGATTTCTTTTACTCTCCCACAATTTGATGACAGAGGTTGCAGATCGTTAACTTGTTCGTGAGATGTTGATGTTGAGTAGGAGAGATTGGCTTGATAAGAATGTCTGCTTTGTGATCAGTTCTCATGAAGTGTTGAAGCAATATATTTTGAAGTTTGAGATGTTCTTGAATAAAATGTTAGTCTACTTCGATATGTTTGGTCTGGCGTGGAAGATAGAATTTTGAGTAAGTGTTATCGCCGAAGTGCTGTCACAATAAATATTGGTAAGCAAGGGAAGCTTGCTAATAAGCTCTTTTAAGAAGCTAAAAAGCCAAATTATTTCAGTGGTGGTAGTTGCTAACTCCCTGTATTTAGCTTAAGTACAAGATTTTGTCATAGTTGTTTGTTTCTTAGCAAATGACGAGATCAGGTTGGATCCTAGAAAAATGCAGAATCCCATAGTAGATTTTCTTTCAATGTGAACTTCGGCCCAGTCGGCGTCAGTATAAGCCTATAGAGTAAGAGAGCTAGATTATATGGGCGAACCATAGTTGTTAGTTCCTTTAAGATATCGAAGTAATATTTTTAGATGTTGAATATAAAGCAAATTAGGGTTGTGCATTTGTTGACACAACAAATTAATAGTAAACAAAATATAAGGTCGAGTGATGGTTAAAAATTATAGAGAACCAGTAATGCGCCTGTCTTTGTGAGGATCGAAAAGAGGAACAGGGGTTTTGTTGTGTTGGCGTGAATGTATGGTTAAAGGTGGAAGAGAAAATTTGAAATATTGCATTCCAGTGATTTTGAGAAGCTCAACAATGTATTATTTCTTATGAAAAAAGTAACCATTGGATGTTTTATGGACTTGTAATCCAGGAAATCGGGATATGGCACCTAATTTTTTAAATTAAAACGATAGTTAAGGCTGTTTATGAGATTGTGAATGGCAGTTGTAGAGTTATCTGTAATAAGTATATCATCTACATATACCAAGAGATACATTTTGGTGTGATTGTGATGATATAAAAGTAAGGAATGACCAACTTTACTGAAACTGAAATGTTTGGTGTGGAGAAATTAACATAAGGTAGAATATCACTATCTTTGAGTTTGTTTTAAACCGTATATTGCTTTGTGTACTTGCAACCGTGATGAGTGTGCTGAGAAAAAGTGAAATTTGGACGTTGTTTCATATAAATTGTATCTTCTAAAATGCGATGAAGAAAAACATTGGAAATATTTAGTTATTGAATATCTCAATTTTCATGAGTTGCAAGTATGATGGGCATTCAAAAGGTTTGAAATTTTACGATGGAACTAAATGTTTCATTGAAATCAATGCCTGGTTGTTGAAAACAATCTTGTGCCACTAAGCGAGCTTTATAGCAGACAATGAAGTCATTGGGGTAGTATTTGGTTCTAATGGTCCTTTTAGAAACTAGAACATGCTGTTTGGAGGGAGGAGGTACAAGTTCCCATGTTTCTTTTTGTTGTAAGGTCAGGAATTCATCATACATGGCTTGGCACCGGCGAGGATGATTTTTAGCTTGAGTGAAAGTGAGAGGAGTTTCATTGTTGATAGGGTGGGGGAGAATGAGAAAATTAGTTGGTCTAAGGGAATTTTTTTGTGAGCGAGTAATCATATGATTTTTAGTGGTGGGAGAAGAGGGGTTGGGGAGGAAATGGGTTGGCGAGGAACCACCGGTATTGGGGAAGAACATTAAAGTGTTGGTGAGGAGATATTAGTGCTAGATTAAGAAGTTGGTAGAGTAAATGTTGTGGGTGTGTGAGTAACTGAAGTGGAGTATAGGGTAAAAACAAGCGTAAGCAGTGAAGGAGGAATAAATGGAGGTGTTGTGTTGCAGTTAATGTGGGTCGTTAAGTGTTGATAGAGAAATTAATGCTCAATGAACTTAACACCTAGAGACAATAAGCTTTTGAGTAAGAATATAAAGGCATTTGTAGCCTTTGTGTTGTGTCTATAACCGAGAAACACACATGTGGGAGCCTTAATACTAAATCTATGATGTGCAAAAGAACGATACCAAGGATAGCAAGCACATCCAAATTTTTGAAAGTGTTGATATTTTTGAAGGTTTATTGTGCAAAAGTTGATATGGAGATTTGTTAAGTGTGTTGTTGGATGGAAGGCAATTAATGAGGTAGTTAGCAATAAGAAGAGCTTCAAGCCAAAACTTAAAGGGAAGAGAGGCTTTGTTGAGGAGAGTACGAGTAGTTTCAATAAGGTGACGATGTTTGTGTTCAACGATGTATTTTTGTTTAGTTGTATAAAGACATCTAAATTGATGAATTATTCCATTTTCATTTTGGTATGACTTAAAATGATGAGATTTATATTTTCCTCCACCATCAGTGTGAATGTATTTTATATTTTTATGAAAATGATTTTGAATATATTTATGTAAGGTTATAAAGTGAGAGATTATTTCAGATTTATATTTCATGGGAAAGCACTAAGAGAAGTGAGAAAATGTATCAATGAAAGTAATATAAAATGTGTATCATTCAAGTGAAAGATACGAGAAAGGGCCCCATACATCCGAATGTAGCATATCAAGCATATTATAGATGGTATTACTAGATGATAGAGCTTATGAATCTTATTTGTGAGACATTCAAAGCACATTTGGGTATTTGAAGAGATCCTTAATTACGAGTGGCTGTTGGAGCAGAGCGATAGAACTTTCTGATGAGGGTGACCAATTCTATTGTGCCATGTGTCACTCAAAATGGCGTGATGAAGAGAAGTAACTTAATAAAGGCCTTGATTAGCTGAATCGGTCGAGAGAGTTTTCTTTCTTTGACGATCCTGAATACAAAAGTGATTAGCATTAAAAAGCACTTGGCAGTTAGTATTGTTCTTCTTAAATTTATGTACAAAGATAAGGTTATGTGAAAGAGTGGGTGCACTCATGAGAGGAGAAAGGAACAACTTACGATCTGGAGTGGGTAAAATACCCTTACCAGTGTGTGAAATGTCTGTAGCTTGTCCATTGACAACTGTAACAATGTCAGTTCTTTAATATGGGATTGAATGATGCAAGTCATTGTTATAAGGTGTTATATGAGCGGTGGCACCAATGTCTAGTATCCAATCCTGTTTTGGAGAGCGAGCATTAGAAACCAGAGCCATGTGTTGAAGCAGAATAGTGGTTTTGTATTGAAGATTTGCACGATGCCAGCATGTGGCAGCTGTGTGCCTTTTCTTGAAATAATTTTGAAATATAGAAGCAGATTTTGGTTTGGATTGATTGCTTGATTGATTTTGTTTAGTGTTTTTGTTGTAATTTCTTGAAGCAAACCAACTATATTTGTTTTTTTTTTTTTTTTTGAGTTAAGAGAGTTGTGCATGCGGAGATTTTGTTGGCCCTGTTGATGAGATCACATTCTTTGCTATCAAGTAAAGCGTGTAAGGCTCCAAGATTGATGGTATTCGATTAAGTCCTTATGACAACCTTGAATCCTTGGAAGCTATGTGGAAGACTAGTTAAAATGTTTAATATAATGTCTTCATTGTCAGTTTTTGAACCTACTGCAACTATATTGTTAACCATTGTTTTAATTAGAGCAAGGTATTGTGTGATGGGGTTTGTCCCCATGAAAATAGTGTGCAACTCATTCATGAGTTATCTCATGTGAGATTAGATGGTAGATTAGAATCTTCTTTCTAATGTACTCCAAATTTTTGTAGTTCTGTTTAGGTGGATGGTGTAAGATAAGATGGAGGGAGAAATAGTTGATATGAGGGCGTCAACAAGATTGTTGTTAATAAGTTGCTAGAGGCGAAAATCTTCTGTCCCTGTCTCTTTTTGTGATTCCATTGAAGATTGTTGAAATCTTGAGGGAATATGGGCTTGGTGATCTACAAATTTTTCAAAACCATTATAAGTAAAGAGTTTTTGAATTTGCATTTTCCAAACCTGATAATTTTCATAAGACAATTGCTGGTTTGTCATGATCTTGATGTGAGACATCAAGAACTTGAGAGAGGTTGGGAAGTTGATTTTTTTGATCCTTTCAAGAGATTGATATGATGGTGATTGAGTAGTAGATGTTGAGTCCATTGAAGAAGAGATGAGAAACACTCGAAAAAGAAAAAGGTAGGAAAGATCGGGAGATTGGAAGCCTTATGGCTTTGAAACCATAAAAGTTGAGAGATATCCTGAAATAATAAGAGGAGGAAAAAGCCAGAAAGCTAGAGAGAAGACATAAGAAAAGATAAGTATTTAATACTTGGTTTTGCTTACATTACATATACAGAATCACATGTATTTATAGCCAACAGTAATGTCATACTTGTAAATACAGGTAATTGGAAAGTACTTAAAGAACTTAAGAAATGCAATCCCTAAGGTAATTGGAAAGTACTTAAAGAACTTAAGAAATGAAATCCCTAGCTCTTTGTTGGCTGAAGAATTAGAAGAGGCGAACCGTATGGAAACCAAGCCACGAGGTAAGATCTCTTTTAATCTGAACCCAATACCTTATGGTAAGAAACTACATCATTATCCACTATGTCAAGTGTGTGCGCACATTATAGTTGTACTTTATTAAATTTTAGCAAAAGGTAAACTAAGGAAATAAATTGTTCTTAGCAAATTTCAGTCAGAAATAACTTGAATTAATGACTACATAGTTAAGAGTTTAAACTCTCAACCAACAAATTAAACTTACATAAGATAAGTTATTTCCGGTCAAATGAAGAAATACTGATGATCTGCCTAAACACTTTAGCTTTAAATAATGTATATATAAATGTAAATAATTAAAATGTGAATGGATAAAGTTCCTACCAATAGGGGTTGTTTTTTTATTAAATTTATAATTCAAAGAGCTAACACAGTTTTTTTAATATATGGTTATATTTTATTATTAATTTTTAGAAAATATTTAGTAAAAAATAGATTTTTACTATCACATTTATTTGAATGAAACAACCATAAAATGGTTATTATTTGGCTTTTTAAAATATTATTTTTTTTAAAGGTCAATTCTAACATTTTATGATTATTATAACCTAAATTTAGAACACGTTTGAGGCAGCTTATAAGTGCGGTGGCGTTTTTGAAAATGTCGTCTAACCGTTTTGTTTGCGCGTTTTTGAAAACACTGTCTGCCGTGTTTGAGTCTTTTATACTAAACACAGACTGCGGGTTCGTCGTCGACCCACGGGCCGCGTTTCAGTACAGCTTATTCTGAAACACACAAGCTGCCCCAAAATTCCCCAAAATTGAACTCCACCCACTACACAAATTTACTTGCCACTCACTCATCATTTTCTCATTAATATATAAGCAAAGTTGCTTTATACCATAACAGATTCTAAAAATACAAAAATTTGTAATTAAATATAATTATGTTAGTTATCCTTGAAGCAAAAGTTGGGAAACCCAAATAAACATTAAATAACTCGTGTAATTTGTTCCTAAACCCCTCTCCTGTCATTTTTCATTAGAAATATGTTTTTTAGTGCTAGAACGCGCAACATTCATGTAATTCTTGATTGTAATAAGAATATTAGTCAATAATCGAAACTCGGGGCATCAGGACATATCAGGTGTGACAGTGAGCCCAAATTGCCACATGACTCCCGGCTATTGGACACCTGATGCAATGATTTCTCACTCGGTGAATATGTTCAAAGAAACAGATTGGCAAAAATCAAGCAGTTTTCTCAAAACAAAGAGAGCAGAATCATGAAAGCAAAAGATTCTGGCACAGATTGACAAAAACCAAGCTCTGTTTGGCGCAGCTGCAGCTTCTCAACTGCAGCTGCGCTGCCCCAGGAAGCTGCTGCGAGGAAGCAACTGAGGGAAAATTTGCTGTCTGTTTGGTGCAACTGTGTGAAACCAACTGTCGGGCAGTTGTTTATAGAAAAAAAACCATATTGTCTCTGTTTGGTAAAATTATTTAAAAGAAGAGTATAACAATCATATTTTTGGAACTTCAGTAGGCCCCCAAAGGTTATTATCTTTACTTATACTCATTGTCCTCATCTTAATTGGCCAATACTCCTCAAAACTGACATTAAATATGTCAACCTGTAAGCAAATCAAAATACCACCACAGTCAACTGAAAACTCAAAACCATTGATATCCTTCCAACACTCAAATTCACAATATAAAGATCAAAAACCCCAAAACCAGAAAAAAATGAGGGAAATTTACTGAGCACACAGTTCAAACGTGAAATATCAGCAACAATAACGTGTAACAAAACTATAATATGTAACAAACATGTACCATTCCATAACACAGTTCTAGCAAAAGACAATTGTAAACAGACATAATGTAAAAGGTAAAGCCATGGAGGAACAAATGCATTGGCATCAATAACAAAATATTGCATTTAAATCAATCAAGTACCTTAAGAATCGCTCAAACTCAAAACCAAAAATGCAAAACTCGTTGAATAACTTACTTTTGCATGAATAACTTAATTTTACAAGTTGTACATTAACGATGTAATGCATTTCAACCTTCCCATGCTGAAAATACATTAACGATGTAATGCAATTAACGATGTATTGCGTTTCAACCTACCAATGCTGAAAAATTACAGTAAAATAAAACGGGAGAATCATTCTACAACCGAACAGGCTATATTAATTTTAAGAGAGCAGGGGTTTCGGAGCGGACGATTGAGTGGGGCGATCGAGTAAGAAGCAGCGGTTTCCCGAACAAGTTTAGGGTTGCATCGAGCGGGGATTTGGAGCGGGGCAAACGAGGCATTAACGCTCGAGAAAGCCAGACCACGGAGTCGACCCCGCGGCCGGCTTTCTTCTTTTTTAGCGGCAAGCGACCGCTGCCGCCGAAGGAAAATACACGAAAAAAATATTATCTTTTCGATTTGGGGCCGCGACCCTAAAAAAATGCACCCCAAAACGGACCTGAGACATCTTCACATGATCTCTTCTCCTCCAATGGGCATCCACCTCAATCCTTCTACTGAGGCCAGCAATGGCGGCCTCCTCACCTTCCTCGCCTGCTCGAAACCATAAGCTATCTCGATCAATTCCGGCTCAGATCCCTTCAATCCCCCAAAGCAGATTCCGAAGGGCGCTCCTGAGCTCCCATAACCAGCGGGCACACTGATCCCCGGATACCCACAAATGGCTAGAATCGCCGCTCCGCTTTCATTTGGAGTCACCACTGCATCCAATTTCTGCTCCTTCATCACCCTCTCCAATCCATCTGCACATAGCTCAGCCATTCTTTGAATCCCAAATCTCTCTTCTGCACCCAACCCGTTTGTGTTCTCCGCTGCCAAAAACACATCTTGACCATACTCTTCAATCCTTTCCTGCATTCAGATTTAGGGTTTTGTAAATCGGACTTCTTAAGATGGCTATATTGGATAGAAAGAAGTTGGAGAAGGAAGCTTTTTTACTTCTTTTCTGTGCTCATTGTTGAATGCTATGACGTCTGCTAGAGATCTTACAGGGGAGATTTCGAGGTCAGAGAGATAAGCATTCAGTGAGAGTTTGAACTCAGCCAATAGAACAGCTTCTTCCCCGCTCTGGAATGGATCGAGTATGGCGCTCACATTAGGTATTTCCAAATTGTCCACCAAGGTTGCTCCTTTTTGCCTGCCATAATACGAACTCTACTAATCCGAAACAGTGAAGACGAAAGCCCCAAAATCTCAGCCAAAATTGTTGCTTTTTAAATTTAGAAACGAAAAATTTGCAGGAAATTAAGAACTTTTACTCGATTACCTCATGACGTCGAAGTGCGATGCGAAAGCGTTATCTTCCAAAGACCCTTCTGCAAAACTGAAAAAGCCCTTGCGAAGAATCCCCACCGTCTTCCCCTCCAATCCGTCCTCCTTCAACCCGCCCGGTCCCCCCCCCCGGGACCGACCCCCGCCGCCGCCGCCGTGGCCTGCGAATCCCTCTCATCGTACCCAACAATCACGTCAAGCACTGCCACTGCATCCGCCATCGTCCTTGCAATCGGTCCCACCGTGTCCTGCCTAGGTGAGATCGGCACCACCCCGGCCCGGCTCGTCAACCCTACCGTCGGCTTTATCCCCACAACGGAGTTTGCTGCAGCCGGGCAGATGATTGATCCGTCTGTCTCCGTTCTTCCGCACGTTGCCGCCGCCATCCCTGCGGCTGCCGCGATCGCTGACCCGCTGCTTGACCCGCACGGATCCGCCGCCGCGGCGTAAGGATTTTGACCTTGCCCCCCTCGCGCGCTCCAGCCGTTCGGCGCATATAGGGATCGGAAGTTAGCCCACTCGCTCATGCTCGCTTTGCCGATAATGATGGCTCCGGCGGCGCGGAGGCGGCGGACGACGGCTGCGTCCCGGGGCACAATGGAGCCGAGGAGAGCGAGGGACCCAGCGGTGGTGTTGAGGCGGTCGCGGGTAGCGATGCTGTCCTTGAGAAGGATGGGTATACCGTGGAGGATGCTCGAGGCTGGACTGCGGTGGCGGTCAGCGAAATCGGCGTCGGAGAGGGCGTCGGGATTGAGTTCAATGAGGGCGTGGAGGGTTGGGTTGACGGAGTGAATTCGGTTTAGATAGTATTGAACCAGCTGGCGAGAGGTGAGACTGCCGTCGGCGAAGGAGGATTGGATGTCTGCGATGGTGAATTCGCCATAATCGATGGTGGTGGAGCCGGCGAGGTTTGAGAGGAGGAAGAAGGAAGTGAGAGTGGCTGGTACCAGTGCCATGGACGGACTGGAAGGCTACTGGAGCGGCAGACAACTTGCTTCACAAAATCATACTCAACCATCTCAAAGCATACAAAGAGGATTATCCAGAATTTATGAGAAAAAAATAAAAAAAAAAACATTAATTTCATTTATAATAATATTAAATCATACTCAACCATCTCAAAGCATACAAAGAGGATTATCCAGAATTTATGAGAAAAAAATAATAAAAAAACATTAATTTCATTTATAATAAGTTTACAAAAATAAAGAATTAAAAGACTATTATTTCTTCTCTCTGTGGAATATTTGCATCGTTGTGTGGAAAACAAATTATTATATAATTTTGAAGAATATTATAACTTAAATTTATTTTTTGTATTCGTTTTATTTATGGGTAAATTTAATTTACTTTAAAATTTATCATAACCAAAATTTCTCTTATGTATGCATGATATTCATATAATATAATTATAATATTATGATGCATCCGTAATGCATGGGCTATGGGATATAAATATAATATGACATGAATTTGGTGTTTATGTTCCAGTCTGACTCACATTTGATCGACACAAATAAATTTAGAATGCATGGGCTATGGGATATAAATATAATATGACAGGAATTTGGTGTTTATGTTCCTGACTCACATTTGATCGACACAAATAAATTTAGCTCGAGAGCTTAATTAACCCAAACACTATCCCATTGACTCGTTTGTACATGCTTTTCAAGTCAATATCATGCCGAGTTTGGGTTTGCAAGTCAAATTTGAGTTACATTAGCTAGAGAGTCAAATTTTAAGTTAGTTGATCAAAACAACCTAAACAACAAAATTAAAATGGGTCAAACTTTTAGATCTGAATCCTACCCAAAAATTGATTGGGTCAACCAAAAATTAGATTTGCTTGGTTTGATTTCGTATCATGTTATCGTGCGCACTCGTTTAAACATGAATATTTGTTATATTTTATATTAAAAAAATAAGATATTGACACACATTAAATATATATAATTTAGAAAAATCTTAGATTTGCTTGGTTTGATTTCGTATCATGTTATCATGCGCACACGTTTAAGCATGAATATTTGTTATATCTTATATTAAAAAAATAAGATATTAGCACATATTAAATATATATAATTTAGAAAAATCTATTGTGAAAAGAAATTATAAGTTAATCACTACTTTTAATTCAATAAAATAATTTTTTTTTTAATTTTAAATTTGTCTGAAATTCTTTACTCTCGACAGCAAGGAGGGTGAAATTTGAACTGTGAAAAAAAAAATGCTAAGGAAGCATTACGGGCTGAGATTTGCGGATAAGTATTAAGCAGGAAAGTAAAGCCATCTTCTGCCCGTGTCAAATCGATTATAATTGAATGCTTTGAAATTACATTTGAGTATATACAATAGATATATAGATATATATGTATGCACGTAATTGAATATTATAGATATTATGGGTGTCATCCTCTCATTAATCACAGATTTGATAAAAGCCTAGAATATTCAACTTTTATTTACTTGCTTGAGCCATGAACCAAATATCACAATTAAGAACATAAATTATAATTAATGACTTATGTATTGATAAGCTATCAACAAATTTTCATCATCAAGCACGAATCTTGCAGTATGACAGGGATCTCGATATAATTTCTTAATAAAATAATATCAGACTTTGACTAAAAAATCATAAAAAACTCTAATTTTTGTAAACTTATTGTCACACTGACCGGCCCAATGAGACAGATCCAACAATACCAAAAATAGTCCAACCCGAGTCATATCAAGCCATTAAACAACATTTTAAAGCTTTCAATGCATAATTGGAAGGTCAAGGAGATTCCAAATCAAGCATGCTTATAGTAAAATCAAGCATCTCAGTGATACAAATACAACGAGCTCAGGATCACTCAATTTCGTCATCATTAAGGCACTCAAAATATTCATCAAACGTCATCCGATCAAGGGGATCTCTCCTGGTCGTTCGATTAAGAATAGACCAGATTCCTTCCTTATTTGAAACCTAGATTCTGAGGTGTTAGACTCACGCCGAGAGAAAGACTAGAGCCTATAAAAGAAGAAGCTGAAGCTTAGGATCCTGCATCGATAATTCGGCTAACATCTCTTCCTCATGCAGCTGCTAATTACTGTTGACCACCGCTCCAGTCTCAGCCAACTCATGCCAACACCGTCGACCATCATCGACCAACTCCGGCTGCCACTGTCTTTATCAACACTAATTGTTGCCTCCTTTGACAACCACCGCCGCCACTGCCAACTTCAGCTAATGTCACAACCAACTTTGAGCATCACCGCCAAACAACTCTGGTTGCTGATCCCTACTTTCTATATCAATATTTATTGTGATGTATGCGATTATATGCTTAATGATTCCTATTTTACAACAAAGTCAAAAACTTGATCCAAAGCAAAAGCTAGACAATTTTTTACTATGAAGCAAAGAAGAATGCATTTATAATATTTAAATATGAGATAATACACAAGTATACGTATCGTTATTAAGTAATATAAGATTTTTTAATTAAATCCCGAATATCGAACCCATAGGGAAAACTAGCAATATCACTTTTTTTTAAATTATAAAGTTTAGATAACAAAAATTCTACTTGGCAAAATATTCTTACTTAAACTTAAGATACTGTGATAGGAATGAAAATTTGATTTTTTTTATAATTTTTGATATTTGAAAATAAAGTAAGCAACTAATTAACTTAACTAAATATTTACAAGATAAAGACAATATAAGTAACATATTTTTTTTCTTATCATAAATCCGTAACAAGTGTGAAAATTTTGTTATGGAATTATTCTAAATGTGTTGTGCTAAATAGGACTAATAATATTATTTACCATTACTAGAGATGCTATAAAAAACATTAACTAACCTATTTTGAATAATTTTGAAGACTGGTTAGGTAGGGAATATACTAGCTCTCATTCCTGAGTTCCCTCTTCTCCCTCCACCTGAGGGCTATCATCTCATATCAAAACCTAACACTATAAATCAAATTGGGGGCATTTGTCTGTCACTCTAAAGTCCTTTAATTCTACACCCATAAAAGTTTATTTCCCTATTTATTTGCACTCAACCCCATGAACTACATTCTCATCCATGAAATTAATATGTGATTCTTACCATTTATTGACTGAGACAATACCATCTCGGATCATACATGTTCTCACAAAAGGTATTAACATCTTAATTGGTCAAATCAAACAGTAAATGAAGTACAAGGTTTCAAATCAACACTTCTTCCAACATTAAAGTCTAATACTTCACACAACTTCCTTTCAACACTTAATCACTTATCATTTTAAGAAAAAAGATAAAGAAACCTACTCATAATCTATGGAGAAAACACAACTACACATGAGTTTAAAAGTAGAAATCATGCAAACAAACAAAAAATCTAAATTAAAATCAATCGTAGTCACAAAGATAAACACTTATCTCAAATCCTCTCCACTAAACTTCTTGAAGTTTCTTTGAATCCTCTTCCTTCATTTACAATACAAACTACAACTTAAAATAAAATAAAAGTGGCGATGGCAGCAGTTACTTGGATGGATGATGGATGTTGGTTTGTTGACCTCACTTTTGGTTGAGGTTTAATTTTTCTCTTTAGTAGCCTAGGGTCTAGCCATAGGACGTTCCTGTTGAGTATTCCTACAAAACTAAAAAAGGAACCCTCACCATTAGAAATTCTAAACTCCCCTTTGCCCAACTTGAAGCTCTACATATTAGTCCTTACCTCTAGCACTTAGTAGGTGGGGTCAGTATGGGGAAGCTCAAGGAGAGTCCCCATTAGAACGACTTGACCTTAGGGTTGATCCTGGGTGTTGGTCTGGAGCTAATACACTCACTTACACTTACCTACACTCACTCTCACCCATAATCACTGACAACCCTAAACCCAAAATTGTTGACTTTGATCCCTTGATCTTTTGGGAAACTCATGCAGATGGTCCCCTAAGCCCACTAGCCCTAGGCTAGGGTTTAGCTAAGACAAGTGCATAGAGGACCCAAATGGGGATTTCATTGGTTCATGACTCATATATGGTGATTAGTAGCCCAATTATACCCAAATATTCAACTTGAACTTTTGCCACTAAATCCCCCCAAATTACCTAGATACCCTTGGAGCCCTAAATTTGATCAAAATACCCAAGTTGGAAATACCCAAATTACCCAAAACTACCCAAAAATTACAAATTTACCAAAATACCCCCAAAATGAAATACCCCCAAATTTGCCAAAAATACAAAAATACCCTTGACACCCCAAACTTTACCAAAACCTCCAAAATCACTTTAAATTTTTACAAAACCAATTTGAACCCTTCAATTAAACCCAATTTGTCAAATTTGACCAGAACCCAAGTTTACCAATTTGACCATTTTGACAAAAACCCCCAATTTGCCTTTAAGGGCCCAATTTCCCCAAATTTACCTCAAATGTCTATCAATTTGGTCTCAATTTCCCCCAATTTCAATCCTAAACTCAAATTTACCTTTCATATGACCAATGTAAGCCACATCCCAAATTGCCTTTAAAGGCCCAATTTTCCCAAATTCACCTCAAATGTACAATAATTTTAGCCCAATTTTCTTCAATTTCAATTCTAAACTTAAATCCACCTTTCATATGACCAATCTAGACCAAATCCAAGCCTAATTGGCCCATTCTTTGAGCTCAATTTCGATCTAAGCTAAACCCCCAATTTTGGCCCTATGACATAATCCCACCAAATTGAACCCCATAGCCTACACAATTTGCCCCAATTTGAATCCTAAACTTTTCATAACAATCCTACAAATCAAATTTGACCTTTAATTGGCCTTGTAATATCAAATTTGACCTTAAATTGGCCTTAGTAAAGCCTCAATTTCATTTAATTTCAGTCCAAATAAAAAAATACCCAAATTTGCCCTAAATTGCCTATGTCCCCAAATTCCAGCAAATTGAATGCCTTAACCCCAAAATTGGCACCTGTAGACCATTTTCAACAATCAATTTGGACTTAGCCCAACCTTGGCCCAACCTAGAC